CAATACTTTTTAATACCCACAGTACTGACTTAGTCCCCAATCATGACTCCAACTCATATAAATGGATCTACCCTGCTACTCATCCATAGTGACTGAATCCAGGCTATGAGACCTGTACTCAGCCAGCTCAGAGCAGTGCCCTGAAAACCCGCACTCCAAGTGGAGGTATTCATTTACTGAAACATGAAGACAAGAGTTCCAGGGAAACTAGTCTTTGAAGGCCCAAGGAATCCATACCCAGACATCTCCTCAAAACAAAGACCCACCTCAGGCATGATGGCAGACATCTGCGAGTTCAGCACTTTGAAGGCTGAGACAAGGACTGCCCTGAGTACAAGGCTAGCCTGGGCTACTTGGCTACTTGGCAAGACTTTGACTGAACAAAAGCAAAGACAACAACAATAACAACCACAAAAAAAACACCCCCAAAACAAAACAAAACAAAAAAGCAAGCAAGTGAGGAAACAAACTCATTGGTTCTTGTTCATGCTTTGGGAAGATGTCGGGACTTGGCCATTCATAGATGGCTCCCTGGTGAGACTGTTGCCGAAACCTTATGTTTAGAAATGGTAAAAATGCTCTTACCGAGAATCATTAAGAATCATTGCTGGGAAGTCTTTTGTCTTTGGATTTTCTCTGTTTTATAACTCCGTTAGTGGAGAGCAGTGGGCACCATAGACGCCTTCCTGAGCCTTTGCAATAGCAGCACTTGTGTTGAGAAAACTAAGTGGGAGCTGGGCAGCAAAGGGGCTGGGCTCCATTAGGTCATTAGTCACCTCTGTCCCTTGTTAACAGTGGGAAGCAATGTGTGGCTTTAAAGGTGACACACCTTTCTTCACACTTGGGTAAAGGAAATCTCCTGCCTTGGAGCGTGCCTTGCCTAGACCTGTTCAACTTCAAGGCCCCCAGACAATTGCCAGCCTACTAGGCTGTGTCCCTGTTGGCAAGTTAGCCAACCATTGTTCTAACCACAAGTGGAATTGGAATTTTAATTTTGTGCCTAGGTTCTAGCACCAGGCAGAGAAAATGTTAAAAGAACCCAGAGAGTATGTGATCGCAAAGCTCGGGCTGTCTGTCTCCTGAATTCCTGTCCCTTCCGAAGCTGAGGGAACAGTAAGTAGATTGTACCACAGGCTAATGTGGGCCCTGACACAGGTGTCACTGCTCTACCCAGTGAGTCCCATTCATTCCAGACAGGCCCATCTTCATAGAGAATCCTGTCTGCACCTGACAACTTTGTGTTGCCTGTTTTGGTCTTTTTTTGTGTGTATCAGGAGGCTAAATTTCCATCCACATTGCCTTGCCTGGCTCCAAGGAGGCCCACATAGCCTTACTTCATTCAGCTGTCATTGACTGCTGCCAAGCACACAGTCCATTCCCTGAGCCACCATGTTGGGTACTACATAGCAGAGAGATTGTAGTTGGGGTGTAGATTTATTCCATGGTGTGCTGAATGCAACTTCCAACCAGGGGAGACAGGGAGATAGGCAGAATTTGGAGCAATCCACCTACTGGGCTGCTTGTGTTTCTCTGCTCTGTAGACAGGAGCAGAGGCTCTCAGCCTAACTGTGACAGGCCCTGGGACAGCTAAGATTCCTTCTAAAGCTCTGAGAAAACCTCAGAACATAATTAATCCCAGCCTCCTCCCACATGTTGACACAATTTAAGCCAATGCTACATTCTTGACTAAGGAAGAGGGTCAAGGGATCACACCCGGGGCCTCTGAGACTGTTAACGTTGCAGGGCTAGAAGACCCACTCTTTGGTTTCTCACAGCATTCGCTAGGTGCCCACTTGGCGGGAAGCACAAAACAATGACGGATGTGTCACATGGTTCTCCAACTAACTTACTAACTGAGACATGAGTGAAAGTAAAAATTCTGAGAGAGACTTTTCAAGGAACCAAAGCCATGAGCAAACCAACAGAAAATTTCAGCTGTTTTGATATGAGTTATATGTGTTTAGGTAGAACATTTCCAAAAGAGGGCAAGTAAAAGAGGAAAAAATACTTAGCCTTTCACTATAAAAAATTAAAATAGGGGGCTGGGGAGATGGGTCAGTGGTTAAGAGCATTGGCAGCTCTTCCAGAGGTCCTGAGTTCAATTCCCAGAAACCACATAGTGGCTCATAGCCATCTGTAATGGGATCTGATGCTCTCTTCTAGCATGCAGGTGTATCTGCAGATAGAGCATCCTATACATAAAAAATTAAAATAATTTCTAATAATTTTCCTTCCTCTTCAATTACTTCTACTAAAAATCTTACATGGACTGAGGAGTTGGCTCAGTGAGTACATTGCTTGACTCTTAAGCCCCATGACCCGAGTTTGGATGCCCAGAATCCCTGTAAAAGCTGGACATAGCAGGCAAATATATGGGAAACAGGAGACCGAGACAGGATAATCTCTAGAAGGCTGGAGCCAGTCATTTTGGTCTACACAGCAATGAACATGTCTCAGACACAGTGGAAAGGTGAGGAGACGCGCTGAAGGCTGGCCTCTGGCCTGCACACATGCAGCAGCATTCACACCACCTGCAGAAGAGTTCACACACAGACACGCACACATAGACTTACCACCCCATGGACACACACAGTCACACCTATACACAGACACACACCACCACCACACCGCAACAACAAAGCCCCAGAGTGAAGCTGCACCTTTGCTCATGTGCATGGTTCTCCCTAAATCTATGCTGGTAATAGTGGGTCTCTCTGCAGAAGCAAAGGGAATGCAGTGTCCACACTTCTGGAGCCGTTTCTACGTGGACCTCTAGAAGCTGGACCTCTTCACAGTCCTAGCCACAGGGCCCTCTGCCTCCCTCACCGCAGCTCTGAGATTGACTGTTTTCTGAAAGTCCTCGACAATTTGGCAGAGTGGGGAGTCTTATTTTATCTCTCCCCTCTCACTCATCCTCTGATGTTCAACAGGTGTGCCCCACGGGATGTCTCCATCACAAGTCCTAGGTTCTCCACCCTTAGACGAGCAGACCATGCACCAAGGAACAGCCTCTCTCCTGGTGGCAATGGGTGTGGAGGGGAAGAGCTAGCTTAAGGTGTGAAGCTCCAGATCTGTCGATCTCCTTGAGTTTATCCGCGAGGTTTTTCTGAAGGAGAACAAAATAGGATTGGGTTCTTAGGTAAAGTGCTGATGTGAATTGTCTGAAACGAACTGCAAACAGTTCAGTGCAAACGGCAACTCTAGAGCTTCTGGCTAAAAGAAGAGAGCAGCTAGATGCTGATGACTAAGACAAGGACCTGTACAGGAAGAAGACTAGAGTCATCCAGGTTCGTGGGTACCACCAGTAGGGGGTGGGGTGGTCTAGAGACCAGTGGAATGTGAATTTGGGGCACAATCAAGAACGGATTTCTAGAGAAGTCTTTCACACCATCAGTGTCGGGTGATATGTGGAAGAATAGGAAAGTGAGAGGGGAGGAAGCTATAGAAGCAGAGGGTAAGGTTTGGCTGGTAGGTAGAGCTTGAGCTAGAAACAATCACACCAACAGGCTAGTCACCAGCCGGGCCAGCATCACACTTCTGGGACCGTGGGGACCATCAGGAAGGCTCCCATGCTAAGTCTTGGGAGGAAAGAGAGAACAGTCAGGCCTGCCTGAGCTGAGGTCTTGATGGGAATGACTTGCTCAAGAACACAGAGCTGGCTATTGCAGCATGCTACTGGTGGCAGGTACCTTGAGCCAAAATATGCACTGACCTCCTACCACAGTGCTTGGGACTATGGGATAGAAAATGTTAGATTTCAACTCATCCCTGTGTGTACAATGTGTCAGCACAACAGCCGAGCTCAAACAAGCCAGGATCATGTCTGGAGAAGGCCCTCTTGGAAGTTCACCCCACTTCTAGGTTTACACATTGACTTTTTATTTCTGAAGCTGGATCCTATGCATCCCAGGCTGGCCTTTAACTCTGTGTAGAGCTGAGAGTGACCTTGAAATTCCCGACACTCCTGCCTCCACCTCCCCAGTGCTAGGATTACAGGTTTATGTGGTGCTGTAGTATTGTGGAATATTAATTTAATATGTGTTACATTCATTCATGCTGTGGAATGTTTGTTTATGATGCAAAGACATGTTACACTTGTTTGATTAAATAAAATTAACCTGGGGTCAGGAGACTGAATCAGCAACTAGCTGACAGGAAGTGGTAGGGAGGAACCATGTGTAGCTAGGGTTCTTAAGTGGGGGCTGAGCAGAAGGAGGCCCTGTTTTGGGGGAGACACCAGCAAGAAGAGAAGGTTAGCTACTTGCTATTCAGTCTCTCTGAGTGAGCAGAAATTCATCTCAACTTTTGAATCCTGAGTTCTATAGAGGGATAGAGATCTAGATAAAGTTCCTTTAGCGGCTGTGATAGAAAGAGCCTGAGCGACCCGAATTCCTGCCTAGCTCTGGCCAGTGAGGCCAAACCACAGCTGGGAGCTGCAGAGTTGCAACTGTCGATTGATCAGGACAGCAGTCGCTTAAGGGGCAGCTACTGAGTTTAAAGAAAAACAACACTGTAGGGTATCCAATCCAGTGCCTCACGCATGCTAGGCAGGCATTCCTGGGACGGCGCCACATCCCCAGCCTTCCACACTGACTTTGGAGAGGAGGGTTTGGAGAGGCAGATTAATTTGTCAGCCACCCAGGCACTGAGTCTCTGAGGGTTCAGGGTCATTTCTATGTCGGGAAGAAGGCTAGGGCAAATGAGACTACTGGAGAATGAGATTCAACTTGGCTGAGGGAGTCAGAACTCAGAATTATTCCCTGAAGAGGTTGGGGTGATGTGTGAAGGTCAGTTGAGCAGCAGCCAGCCTGCCCTGCTGGATGCCCAGTGAAAGAGTCACTTGAACTTCAGACATTTCTGCCTCAAACCTCCCACTGCCTCCTTAAAAGAGACTTGCTGGGCATTCCCCAGAATTCTCCACCGAACTGCTTTTTGGCATCCATCCCTGCCCCCTCTCTCCTATACATACTCTGTCTTGGCTCTACTAAATAACAGCGATACACACACTCGACAATTTTTTTTTTTAAAGAAGCCATGTTTATAACTCTAAGAAGTTGTAAAATGTCCATATTAGGCCATCATTATTGCATTAGAAGCTGCCAAGTTGGTAAGAAGTAAAGAAGTATTTAAAAGGTTGAAACTTGGTTTGTCAGAGTCTGTAGTGTGAACTCCTGTGTTTATGTCAACTACACAGGCGCTCCCAAAAAGCAGGAAGCCAGCCAAGTCAGGCAGAGGGATGACCTTGCTTTCACAGGAAGCCTCTTCTGGACATTTTGAAGTCTGAGGCAGTAGCACTCCTCGGAGCCACACTCTGGGGTAGCTTGCACATAGCTTGCACAGCATAGAACACCCTACCGAGAGTTCCCAGGAGAAACGGGCATGACTGATCTAAGGAACACCACATTCATCACTGGTCCTGGGACTGCTGTGGGATGGTCTGTATGTCAAATGTGTTGCTGATTGGTCAATGAATAAATTACTGATTGGTCAGTGGCCAGGCAGGAAGTATAGGCTGGACTAACAGAGAGGAGAATTGAGAGAACAGGAAGCTGGATGAGGGAGACACTGCCAGCCGCCATCAGGACAAGGAAGATGTAAAGTACCGGTAAGTCACAAGCCACGTGGCAAGGTATAGATTAATAGAAATGGATTAATTTAAGCTGTAAGAACAGTTAGCAAGAAGCCTGCCACGGCCATACAGTTTGAAACCAATATAAATCTCTGTGTTTACTTGGTTGGGTCTGAGCGGTTGTGGGACTGGCGGGTGACAGAGATTTATCCTGACTGTGGGCCAGGCAGGAAAACTCTAGCTACAGGGACAGACACCGTTGGTGCCTGGTGGTTTTCCTGAAGTCGCAGAGTGCTCTTGGAGGTGCAGAAGACGTCTTAACCCTTTGCAGCGTCTGAAGTTGCACAGGAAGCAGCTAAGCCTTGCTTGGGTTTGCAGCACTCGTCACTTGCCCCTTTTTCGTCTTTGTGGTGGCATCTAGAGGGGAGAGGAAAAGGGTCACTGAGAGCTCAAGCACCATTTACAGAACAGAAAAGCTTGTCTGGGAGCGTGGATCCTGAGAAGTAACATGATGTGTTCTTTTAGAGATGCCCCCAGCTTGGCCATTTCATCCTGGGATAAAACCAGTTGAATATGAAGATACTCTTCCTCCAATGTCCACTACAAAAGAATGTTTAAAACACAGTACAATGTTCCTATCACTAGTGGAATGGATGCCACCACTGTGGGAAAAGAAGAGAAATAGAAGTAATGCATGCACACCTGATTCTAAGATGAGTGATTCCTAGGTGATTTCAGTTTTGCTCTTCTCCTCCCCTTTCCCTTTAAAATAAAATCCATAAATCTCAGGAGGCTCCTAAAACTTAGAAGATTCATAAGGCAATGACTAAGATAAAAAACACTGAAGACAGCTTATGTTGGAGAGGATATGGAGCAAGGGGAACACTCCTACACTGTTGGTGGGAATGCAAACTTGTACAGCTACTTTGGAAATCAGTATGATGGTTTCTTAGAAAATTGGGAATCAATCTCCCTCAAGACCCAGCTGTACCGCTCTTGGGCATATACACAAGGAACGCTCAATCATACTACAAGGACACAAGCTCAACTATGTTCATAGCAGCATTATTTGTAATAGCCAGAACCTGGAAACAACCTAGATGCCCTTCAACTGAAGAATGGATAAAGAAAATGTGGTACATATACACAATGGAGTACTACTCAGCAGAGAAAAACAATGACATCATGAGGCTTGCAGGCAAATGGATGGAACTAGAAAATCATTCTGAGTGAGGTAACCCAGACTCAGAAAGACAAACATGGTATGTACTCACTCATAGGTGGATACTAGATGTAAAACAAAGGATGACTAGACTGCTACTCACAACTCCAGGGAGGCTAGCTAGTAAAGAGACCCTAGGAAAGACACAGGAATCACCCAGCAATGGAGAAATGGATGAGATCTACATGAGCAAACTGGGGGTGAGGGGGGTAGTAATGGAGGGCAAAGAGAGTTTTCGGGGGGAAAGAGAGCTTAGGGGAGTGGGAGGTCCTAGCTGGATCAGGAACAGAGTGGGAGAACAAGGAAGGAGATACCATGATAAATGAAGATACCATGGGAATAAGAAGAAGGAGAGTGCTAGAAAGGTCCCCAGGAATCCACAAAGATGACTCCACTATAGACTACTGGCAACAGTTGAGAGGGTGCCTGAGCTGACCTTCTCTGGTGATCGGATGGCCGAACACCCTAACTGTCATCATGGAACCCTCATCCAGTGACTGGTGGAAGTGGATGCAGAGATCTACGGCCAAACCCCAGGCGAAGCTCCAGGAGTCCAATCGACGAGAGACAGAGAAGGGGTTATATGAGCAAGAGATATCGAGACCATGATTGGAAAAAGTACAGAGACAACTAGCCGAACTAGTGGAAACACATGAACTGTGAACCAATAGCTGAGAAGCCCCCATGGTACTAGTCTAGATCCTCTGGATAAGTGAGACAGTTGTTTAGCTTGAACTGTTTAGGGGGCCCCCCAGGCAGTGAGACCCGGACCTGTCCTTAGTGCATGAGCCAGCTTTTTGGAACCTAGTGCCTATGCTGAGACACTTTGCTCAGCCTTGGTGCAGGGAGGAGGGGCTTGGACCTGCCTCAACTGAATGTACCAGGCTCTACAGACTCCCCAGGGGAGATTTTGCCTTGGAGGAAGTGGGAATAGGGGGGAGGCTGGGGGGTGGGAGGAGGGAGGACAAGGGAATCTGTGGTTAATATGTAAAATGAATAGAAAAATCTCTTAATAAAACAAAAGAAAAATATCTATTATCTGATTTAAATAAATTAAGTTACAGAAAAAAAGAAGATTCATGAGGCAACTGGAAAGTTATAGAAGCTGTAAGAATTGCTGGGGTGAGGAGCCTGCACTTTTTCAGGGAGCTCCAGAATGCAGCTGTTTTGAGTGGTCACTCATGTTGGATGTTGGGTGGGCTCTTTCACGATGCAGCTGCCTTTGAGTCACCCACGGTCCTGTAAGGACTCCCCTACTCCCAGTTCTGTAAGTACCACCCCCCCCCCCAAAAAAAAAAGCCTCACTGCTTCACAAGGCTTTCCATGAGTGGAATCATCTTTGGCTTGGTGGTGTCCTGTCTAGATTTTTGTTCCTGTCTCCTCGGGAAAAACCACACAATGGCTGTGCTGGTTTGTTTTATTTCCTTATATTTTTCTGTCAACTTGACACAAGCTAGGGCTATCTGGGAAGAAGAGGCCTCAATTGGGAAAATGCCTCCATCAGATTGGCCAGTAGGCAAACCTATGGGAAATCTTGACTCATAATTGATGTGGGAAAACCCAGCCCACTGAGGCTGGTGCCATCCCTGGGCAAGTGGTCCTGGGGTATACAAGGAAGCAGGCTGAGCAAGCCATGGAATGCAAGCCGGTAAGTACTTGTGGTCTTTGCTTCAGTTCCTGCCTTGAGTTCCCACCCTGATTCGTTTTATGATGGACTGTAATGTAAGATGAAATAAACTTTCCTCAAGTTGCTTTTGGTCATGGTGTTCATCACGGCAATGGAAAACAAACCAGTACAATGGCTGTAAGCTATACAGAGAATGGTATAAAAACCCCCAGGAAGCCAAAAGAAAGAGGCCCAAGCTTGCATTTCCAAAAAGAAGGATGCTTTCTTGGCTCTGCTACAGACAGTCTCTATTACCTCACTTTGGGCACCTGTAAAATGGGGGCAGGATCTCTCTTTGATTTTCTTGGGATGGTTGTAAAGATTAATTTAAAAAAATGATATGTAATTGCTATGGAAACTGTAGAGTCCTACTAAACATAGCTAGGGAAACTTTAGTCCAGTCTGATAGCCCCAAAGAGTACATCAACCTGAGAAGTGTATAGGTCTCAGTACATAAGAAGGCATGAAAATGGAATCCTTCCAATTCCAACAAATCAGGTCTTCCAAGCACTGAGGAAATGTCCTTCTGCTGTCTGTCCGAGCCTGCACACACCTTTCAGAAAAGTCTTTGTGCTCACATGATTTTTAAGTTAGTGTTAGGGGAAGGGATATTTGGGAGAAAATATATAAGATGTCTAATCAAGCTGGGCCATCTTCACAAATAGAGGAAGACAGTCAATCTCCAAGCTGTAAAAAGGGGCTGATTTTTATAGTGGGTGAGCAGGCCGTTTCTGAGATACAGCAGCAGGCTGGAGAAAGGATGTTGGGTGTGATGGAGAGTCTGGAGTCAGAGGCCCTAAGTTCACATTCTGCTGTTATTTATTAGCTGTGTGACCTTGGGAGAATAAGGTGACCCTGCCCCTTTTCAACTGTAAAATGGGAGAAATAATGGTGATCTCAGACTTCACTGCAGCAAACCGCACAACAGACAAGGATGGTAAAGAACTTTCCCTGGACAGTAGCTTTATACCTACAGAGGAGTACTTCCTTGTGAGTTTAGGGCCAACATATAAACTTCAAGAGAAGAATGAATGAATACCTATAATTGCAGCATGCAGGAAGTGGAGGCAGGAGAATGAGGAGTTCAAGGCTAGCCTTGGCTACATGGTCAGTTTGAGGACAGCCTGGGCTACATAAAACCCTGTCTCAAACAACAAAGACAAACCAGAAGATGAAAGATCTGTGGACAATTTGATTGGGGATCAGACTGGACATCAAAGGAAAGAACTTTGGTTAGCTACCAAGTTCCATCCACTCCTTTAACAGTCCCTCTTTCATGTGCTTAACGTCTTGCCACCGCATGCACCCTGCCTCGGACTGTGCAAGACAAAGAACTGAGCAGCGCACAGCTCCTGATGTTGAGATCTGGCCTCCACAGGGCCAGAGAAGTGAGCATCACTGAGGCAAGACAGAAAGACAGGAAACTTACAGCAACACAGGAAAGGAAAAGACCCATTACTCTCTCTCATCATCATCATCCTGTTGGAGCCTTTCCTTGGCTGCAAGTCAAGAATTTTACCACAGCTAGCCAAAACCCAACAAAAAACAAGTGAAGACTACCTACCTAGAGGCAATATTCCTTTTTCTGAGGGATTTCTCAAACAAGAATGTTAAGGCAGCCAACAAACCATGGTCAAGGCCTTGGCACTCTGATGGCATTTGTGAAGTGTTAAGTTCTACACAAATGTTAAGTTTTGAAAAATATTCATGACTAAAATTACGAACCATATTTATAGGCAAAAGAGGTACCTGGACTTCTTTGTGACTCATACCTAGTAAGAATTCCTTTGACTTTTTTTTGGATGTTTGTATTTTCACAGCACTAACTTCTTCTCTGTAAGCCTGTACTATGCACCCCATAAACTTATAGTTTATGAGTTTGTTTCTCAGCCCCTATGCAGAAACCTGGGTTTGGTGGCCATTGAATTTTAGTCTCCTTCCCCAAAGGAAAAACATTTCTAAACTAAAAATGAACATAACAAGCAAGCCATTTTTACTTAGTCTTTTGAAACATATAGATTACATCATTTGAACAATGCAACTCAAGATATCATATATCCACATGCATGCACACATACACCTGTAGCCTGAAGTTTTCCTGTGTCCCTCCAGGTAAGCAGTCGCTTGGATCCAAGTAAACATACAGAGGCTTATATTACTTACAAACTGTATGGCCTAATGGCTCAGGCTTCTCGCTAGCTAGCTTTTACAACTTAACTCAGCCCATTTCTATTAATCGATGCGTGGCTTACCGGTACTTTCACATCTTGCTTCTCCTGGTGGGGGCTCACAGCATCAGCCCCACTCTTCTCCTCTCTAGTTAGAATGTACCTTCTAACCTTATCCTGCCTCACCATTGGCCAAACAGCTTTATTTATCAACCAATCAGAGCAACACATATTCACAGTGCACAGAAAGACATCCCACAGTGCAAGGGAGCACGCGTGAGCTATTCCCCCTCCTGCTGCAGCTAACATCATCTACCTAGCTTCTATGGCACCTTGTTCTGCAACTCCAGTTGTTACAGGG